GGGGGGGTTGCAAACAAAACTGTTATTAGTTTGAGGACATCTAGGGGCATTTCAAAGTTACAATATTATTTCCTTCCTTTTTTATATGAATTGAAAAATAATTGGAGGCAAAGTCATGTTCTTTCTTTTTTTTTCCCAAAGCTTTGAAAATGACTTTGTTAGACGTTTGTGGGATGGTTTTGGCGGTTTGACTTTATCCATGTTTTATTGTTTTGTATATTGACACTTTAGTAAGACCAGCGCCGCTACTTTTGCATTCTTTGTAAAACAACTATACGGAAACGATTACAGGAAATTTTACTTTTTCGTGTTCAGCCATCATGTGATGGACAGTTAGGTCAAGACCGTTCCTGTCAGCCACGCCATCTCCGAAAAAATCCCCACGTAAATAACACCAATTGAAAATGTTTATGTCTTACGGCATACTTCCCAAGCTAATGAAGTTATGTTAAATAAGTAAATATTATTTGGAGAACATATTATATTACATACAGGAAGTCGGGTGTGTTTATATAAAGAAGGATAAAGGAAGACTAATGGCAAACTAGTTTTGTCGTCGTTAAAATGGCTACACTTTGAGATATATTTTACCCTGAATTTTTTTCTCGCAGGATTTGATGTTTTCAGAGGTTTGGGACCATCGGGCTGTGAAGTAAAGCATTCCTGTTGTAGTTTTTATCTTCAAAAGTTTTCCCAAAAAGCTTCCATATAATTACTTTATCTGCTGTGACAGTTTAAGGGCAAGTAAGCATTCCATTCTTTATACAGTTAGGTCTATATTTACACCTTCCTTGTTGTAATATAGATCTAGTAAAACTTGAAACCTGCTTTTTAAAAATGAAAATGTTTAGAAAAGTTTTTCTTTCAAAGTTTTTGGTCTAAGCGTTACCAATACAGCTGGTGCGTGACGCCATTTTGAAATGAAAAAAAAAAAACCAACAAAAAACCCGACCCAAAACCAACAAACAGAATAAAAATACAAAATCCAACTGGACTAACGAATTTTCTTCTTATCCCCCCCCCCCCTCAACCACGCCCATTTGTTTCCCAATTTAAAATTCTCTGATCAGGAGCAAGCAAATCATCAGCGTCATATCACAACCACCCAAGTCCGTTTCTGTGCGGTTCCAGAGATAAAAAAAAATTTCAAATAGAGCCATCAAGGGGCGTTTTTACAATAG